TCTCTCCACCAAAAAAAAAAAAAAAAAAAAAAGTGCATATACAACTGGATAGATTCAAATTAGACCAGGACTCTCAGACCAGCTGTGTGCATTCAATAATAAAGCCCTTAAACAAACAAAAAAAAAGTTTTTATTTTACTGAATATGATGAAAGCCACCTTTCTCCGAGCAGGGAGCTGTGGTGGGATTGTAAGCACACAGAGATGTCAAGATCCAGCAGATCATTTATTTAGAAAAATGTAATGTGAAACCATTTCTCATTTCTATTTATTTTCAGCAGTTTTCTTATATGACATGGACTGACTGGAAGTACCTTGAAATAAAACATAAATCTAGATCATAAAAATGGACTGTATTTGAATCATTGAATTTGGGGTGGGATGGGGCTCTTTAATGAGGTTAGAAAGAAAAAAAATCACGTGGTTAACCACACACTGTTCAGGTGTATAATTTAACAAAATCATGAACAAAAATATAAATTAAATTTATAGTTAGTATGACAGTATAATGCAACCTCCCTGAAAGGATTATATTCTTTTTCATTTGGCATCTAGGTAAGCCAAAAATATTTAATTTGCATTCAAATATGTGCACTTAGATAATAAAGCACTATAAAGCGTGTGTTAAATGTCAGTGACGGTTAGTATCACAGATGCAGAGAGTACGGAACGATCAGTTTGCCTCAGGCACAGCTAGGCCATTACCCATTGGGCCTTTGTTCCTCTAATACTGCAGCCTTGCCACGCTGCATTAAAAAGTCACTTAGAACCCGTAAACCAGTTCAAGTGAATAAAAATGAAAACCCTTATGTTTGTTCTCAAATGTTTTAAAGAGCCTAATAGGAATAGTTCACCCAAAAATTAATAATTTATGAAAATGTACACACCCTCAGGTCATCCACAATGTAGATGAGTTTATTTCTTTGGCGATTTGGAGAAATTTAGCATTACATCACTTGCTCTCCAATGGATCAGTGAATGGGTGCCGTCAGAATGAGAGTACAAACAACTGATAAAAACATCACAATAATCCACAGGACTCCTATCCATCAGTTAACTTCCTGTGAATCAAATTGAATGTGAAGCTGTGTGTTTGTAAGAAACAAATCCAATCGTTAAGACGTTTTTAACTTCAAACCCTTGCTTTCAGCCAAAACACGAGTCCTCTATTCATAATATTTCGTTTCAGTGAAAAAGTAATTTTATCTGAATCATAAGAGAAATATAAGCACAACAAGCACCATTTACAAGCCAAAACAGTCTAAAACAGTTCTAAACAAATATGTTGGTAGATTTTGATGTGAAAGGTCAAAAGGTATGGGCTTTTTCACTGAATGAAGCATTATTATGAATTATGGACTGGTATATTGTTAATTGTTAATTGATGGACTACAGTCTTGGTGTGATGTTATTGTGATGTTTTATCATCTGTTTGGACTCTCATTCTGACGGCACCCATTCAATAAAGAGGATTCACTGGTGAGCAAGTTATGTAATGCTACTAAATTTCTCCAAATCTGTTCCGATGAAGAAATAAACTCGTCTACATCTTGGATGACTTCAGGGTGAGTACATTTTCATTTTTGGGTGAACCGTTCCTTTAAAATCTAAGGCGAATAAAATGACTTCAGCTATCGATACAGACCTCCTCTGGTAAATTGAATTGGCTTATGTCACCCCAAACATCTTTTACACGTGTCTCCAGATGTTTAATTCTTTAAAGGTAGTCCTATAGCTTATAAACCTCCTCCACTTCCAGTGACATTTTCAATGTATCAAATCAGTGGCCACATGCACAGTGTGCTGGTAGAGGCAATGGTGCAGAAATGTTATTCAAATAACATCCTAAGGCTCTGCCCACACAGAATCCTGGCAAAATATAAATGTCAGAAAAGATAAATGGAAAATACTCAACGTAATGTTTATGATTTGCCTTTCCCCCCTACATTTGTAACCGTGCTGTTTTACTGACACACTGCCATGTGCCGAGGACGTTCGGAGGAGCTGACAGCATTGATAACATGACAATGGATATTGTGAATGAACACAAAGCACTCTCTGCAATATCCTCTGTAGGAGGGAAATGTTGCTGACTCACTCCTTTAGCACATAAAGGGCCCATGAACTAATTTGACCCATTTTCACTTGTGACATTTTTTTAAAAATGTACCAGCACTTCTCATGACAGTGGTCATGCCCTCGTGTCAGTTATAAATGGCCAGCCACTAACTTTGGCTTGATTGGAAAGGGGAAAGGCACAATATGTATTTCTTCCCCTTTGTGCCCTGGAGTAAATTGAAATGGCCATGAGGGACATTCGCAAGGTCATTCTAACCTTGATACAACTATTTGTGAGGCTAAATGACAGTGAAAGAACATTTTGAAGTCACTCTTATCTTCTGAGGAAAGTCTCAGTCTAGAGACAGCTAGTTTTTTAATGTGGCTGTTAGTTACTCAGCTGACCTTTGCTTTGGAGTATTAAGAAGAGATTAAACTGTTCGTTTGTCATTTCTTTCTTTCTTTCTTTCTTTCTTTCATTCAAAAAAGTGAGATATTGTCAATAACTTATGAATCCTCACTTCCTTGCACTTAAGCTCTGTTGGATCGTCCCCTGCTGAATAGCATGTTGAAAGCATATGAAATTAGTATAACAAGCTGTATCTGTACGATAAGTTGTGATAAAAACAAACGCAGTGTTGAATCTCTGTATTGTAGCACATGACCTTGTTGAGCGCTCCTAAAAGGACATCTAAAATCAACACATTATTCTACATAAAAAAAAAAATAAAAATCAGCTGCTCGAATGGATGTTTAACTCCTTTACAATTCAGGCTAGTGTAGGTTAAAGTTTGGGGTCGATAAGAATGTTTAATGTTTTTGAAAGATCATTCTTATGGTGACCAAGGCTGTTATTTGATGAAAAATACAGTAAAAACTGTAATACTGTTAAATATTATATTTTATAATAACTTCTATTGTAATATTTATCCCTATGATGGCAAAGTCTTCAGCGTCACATGATACTTTACAAAGCACTCTAATATGCTGATTTGGTGTTTAAGAAACAGTTGTACTACTTTAATGTTTTTTGAGAATCATTTTTTTCAAGGATTTTTGATGAATAAAAAAGTTCAACAGCATTTATTTGAAACAGAATTCATTTGCAACATTATAAATGTCACTTTTGAGCAATTTAATGCTCCCTTGCTGAATTACAGCATTAACTTTTTTTTCAAAAATATAATCTTACTGACCTTGAAGTTTGAACAGTAGTGTATTTTTTGCAATCTATTAAAAATGTTATGATAAATAATATAAAAATACAAAACAACATAACAATATAAATATATAATAATATACAGTATAAACTAGGCTATAAGCTAGGCTCTTTTGAACATAATGAATAATTATACAATGCATTGATCTCTCCCAATGGCACTTTCAATATCTTTTATCAAACGTTGCATTATAGTATTTCAGTGAGCTAATTTTAGAGGGGTTTATTTACAAAAGGGATGACAGCAAACTCCTTTTAAGGCTGTTAAAGTGAAAGGCCCTAATGTAAAGATGAGTTCACGCTAATGCATGTTTAGTGAGTCATTATCTCAGTCACTTCAGCTTCTGTTTCAGTGTTGGTTTTGGAGAGGGTCAAACCAAAGAGCTTTATGGGATCAAAAGACCTCCACTGGGATCATGACAACATTTATACAAAAAGAAACAGAATGCAAGCTAGTTCATTAAATAGACAGATATTTCTGTTCTGCACAGGCAAGTTTATATATATATTATTGTGATATCCTTATTTTTATCTTAAACGAATGTTTGTACCGACACAGTTTTGACAATGTTTGAATACAGACTGTTCTTAATAAAATGAGACAGATTTTCTTCACTGCTCTCTTTGTCTTGATGGTCTTGGGCTTCAGCCGCACTGCTCGACTGCTCTACTACCGGCTCCATTAAATGAGTAATTCCATTAGCTTTCTTTCACACATTTGACCCAGCCATTTAAGATTCAGCTGAAGGTCTCGCTGCTATTGACCTGTAGCACATTCCAGCCAACTTTCCCTAAGTGCTTTCCCTAGTGGTTTGCTCAGAGAGAGTGCGTCTGAACATTAAACGACAGAGAATGTGGGGCACTGAGAAGGCATAGCTGATGAATAATCACAGCATGGCCTTTGTCTACATATATTTTATGACACATTTAATCATAATACTTTGTAATTGCATTAAATTTTTCCAAGATCAAAAACAGTTAGTGATAGTGATATACAATTAGTGATATACAGTCAGGTACATGTTTTGAATGTGTAATTGTCAGGGAGTCTCAGTAACCACCCTCACCTCAGTCACCACAGTCATCAGCCCCAGTGCACACCAGATCCCCATCACCCGAATTCTGATTGCCCGCACCTGTCTCAGCTCGTTAGGCTCCCTATATCACTGCACTCTCCCCACAGCCTCATCGTCTGGTCTACAGTTTGCATAGCCTTACTAGCCTGACTACTTACCTGTGTTTACTTACCCCTAGATGCTCCTTCGCTCCACTGCTCCATCGGATCACCTACAAGAGACAATCTTCCATTACCCTCAGCTAAGAGACTTGAATTCCTTTACTTCCTTAAATTACTCACCCTCAGACTGTTGCCTTTCATCCCACTGCCTGTTTGTCAATAAACCTGTTGTTGTGAGAACTTACCTCTGTGTTTCTGGCCTGTTTGCTGACAGAAGACCAGATCAACATAATTTGCCTTACAACATGGGCATTCACCTCACCCCTCATGACCCAGCAGACCTTCTTCTCACTCTCTTCCAAGATGGCCTTCCGATTGAGGACTACTTGGAGGAGTTCCTCGAGTTCTCACATCAAGTGCCCTGGAACGATGACACACT